AACTGAGTTTCTATCTTCCTTCTTAATTTTATTATTTTAAATTTTCTTTGTTATACTCTAAGCTGACAACACCTTACGCATTTTAAAAATGCGATTTCTTAACCGAAAGCTTTATGCTAATAGGATTTTCCTGTTGTTGCATACACATTTTGAAGCTTTTTTTCCTTTATATAAGATGATCTTCTGATCTAAAATTGTAGTATTTCAAAAGAATGAACTGGTTTTATCTGGGCAGTCATTAATACTGGTTCAACATTGTTATAATCAAGTGGTGAGAAGATCTGTTGCTGATAGTAGGAGCTTGTTTTGGTACTGTGCAGTTGAAAACTATGAGCAGTTACAAAAACTGGTCATGTTTGTAGCCTAATAGAGTACTACATATACCAATTTTAAAGTTGAATTACTTAAGCCAACATTTTTGTTTAAAAGCTTTAGATGTAAAAAAAAAAATCCAATCATGGAGCTCCGACAAGGTCTTGTAACTCAGGTGATTTGAGGCAGAATGTTTTTGCATTGTGTTCTACAAAGCTATGTTATTTATTCAGTATATGTGAATTTTCCAGTAATTCTGTAAATGTTGCTGTCCTTACAATCTCCGTCTCATCTTTATCTTACAGCAATTTCAGTTGGCCGGACCACTATTTAAATATAATATTAAATACGTACTTTACATTTTTCACTTTGGTTATAAAGCAGCTTATTAGTTTATGGCCGACTGTGCCTTAAAGTCAGAAAGTAGTAAATACCAACAGTTCTCTGTACAAAGTGGCATGTGCTGAATAGAAAACTTAATTAGGACCAGCTGGAATGAATTATTGTACTTAAAGGTCATTATTTGTTTTTATCTTTAATATACTATAATTTTCTTACGAATTTGTGTAACAATCTGGAAGAAAAAAAGATTAAAGCAGTAATTTTTCAAAAATACTATGTTCTTTATCAGATGTTTTGTTTGCTTTTTCATATAATAGGTGAAATATTACAGACACTTGGCACCTGATCACTTGCTTCAAATATGCCATCGACTTGGACCGCTTCTAGAGCAAGAAATTCCCCAAAGTGTCCCTGGAGTGCAGACGTTATTAGGAGCTGGCAGACAGTCTTTGCTTCGTACAAACAAAAGTATGAAAATGTTATGAGAATTTTGAGAGCGTAATATTTCAAGCCTTTTCTGCATTTTCGCAGGAAAAAACGCTTGCCTACATTTTTTGTGTAATTCTTCTAAAACAGGTTGCAAACATGTTGTATGGAAGGGATCTGCTCTTGCTGCACTACATTGTGGGAGGCCTCCAGAGTCCCCTGTAAATTATGGCAGTCCACCTAGTATAGGTAAGTCAATTTTATGGCATTGCCATTGTAATACCTAACTCCCAGGATGATTGATTATTGTGATGATGAGAGCTAAGTAGTAATTCTGTTTATATTTGTCCTTGTTTGTGTCATATACCTTATCTTTAGTATTATTTTTATTAAGATGTTGTGCTGTCATATTTACCAGTTTGTATGTGGGGAAAAAATGGGTATTGTAAATTCATATACTAGTTCTGCTCTGAAGCTAATTTTGTCTTTGAAGTATGAAATGGATTAAAATCTATTTCAACAGTGAATATATACAAATAAAACTCTTTTTCTTAAAGATGTAATAAAGCTGTCAGTTACATAATTAGTACTGTATAACAACTTAAAACCAGGACAGTGTGGCCTGCACCCATTGTTGGGGAGAGTAAGTCATGTAGGCTGGTAATGGTTTTCTTTGGAAAGATTTGAATGTCATGTGGAAGTTACTCTTTCTGCTCTCTGGTCCATTGAGTAATTTTGTAGCTGTGCTTTAGTTTGCTGTGCTATATCATGAAGCATGCATGTGCTGTCTGTACTGTTGAAAAACTGAGAAGCTGGAGGTCACGGATATTCTTTTTTTTTCCTTTTTAGTTGCTATTTTTAAGCTCTCATATAGTTACTAAAACATGTTTGTTAGCTTTCAACCTTTTAATAAGAAGATACATGTTTTTTTAATTGCTAGAAGAATCAAGATATTTTAGGAGATGGTTTGAGGAGCATCCTTTTTCTTTTGTCATGGATAGGAAAATGTGCAAAATCACTTGTGTCGTTTCATCTTCCTCTGCTGATGTCCAGGGAAGGGGGAACAGTTAAGACCAAATTACCAGTGTGTATTATACCAAAACAGTAGTTGCACATAGATGTGCAGTGTTGGATGAGAGTGGGCAAAGAATATCCAATTGATTGGTTCCTGATCAGGTGCAGCTGCTGCAAAGACAAAGGTTTCTGTCTTGGTGATGAAGAGAAGACTGAAGATATATTGGGGGAACTAATGAGTAACAATGTACAAATATATAGCCAGGTGCTTTTTGGAACAGAGGCATTTTTGATGTGGTAACTTGCCATTAAAATTTTTCTATCTCTGAATTCCTTTTGTAGGCTATTGGTAGCCTCTAAGTTTTCCATGAATTGGGAGAGATAAAGATATATATAAAAAAAATAATTGAGAGAGCTTAATTTGGGCTATTTATATTATTTCTAATGTTGAAGAAACTCAAAATCAAATCTCAAAATGCATACCATTACACTTTACCCAGAGAATTACAGTTCTCTCTTAACAGCTGAAGCATAAGCATGCTACAGCTAAGAAGCTCTTAGGTTAAGCACAGCCAATTTTGACTTGGTCAGATGGCAAAGTATTTGGTGTCCTACTAGCTCTTCCATTTTAAAGCACAAGTTGCATGCTTTCCATGATATTTTTGTAGATGCTTGGAATATAGGAAGAGAACATGATTTTGCTGGGTGTTTAGTGCTAAGTTTTCAGAGCCTCCTTAGCTAGTATGTGTATTGGTCAGAGGTGGTTCACTTAAACCCTCATGTAACACCTGAGGGAACCATGTAGTTCAATGTGGTTTTGTTTAGAGCTGCTATTTTGGTATTCATGTAGAGAGTTGTTTTTATGTTGTGCTCTAGATATGGGGGAGAAAAAGCTTGTTGCTGTGAGTAGAATAATTCCTGTCTTGAGTGGCTGTGCATTGGCTTGAAGATTGTAAACTTGGAAAATCTTGGGCTAGATTAGCAGCTGCTTCTGCAAAGTGGCTGGAGGACTGAGCTTCCTAATGGCTAAGATTTCTTCAGTGGTTGCCTTACCTTTTCGTTTACTTGGGAATACATTTTAAAACATGTTGGAGAAATCAGAGTGGAAGAGGACTGTTTTGCATTATACTGTAGCTTGCTCCATGGTATATAGTTTTTCAAGGGAGAAAGACCATTTTATGAAATCCATGGCGGCTGGAGTTCAAAGAAAGTTGTAGAGTTGCTGTGGTAGTGGAATTAAATGTTAAGAAAAATAACTTTCAGACTGTCTTTAGGGAAAAACAGGTGAGGCTTTCTAAATGTTATTTTTCTTGAACCTTTTGCAGAGCACTGAATATTTGCAAAATTACAGTTATTTCAACATACCACTTTTTTCATGACCAATAATTTCCTTTTCCAAACATTGAGATAAGTGCTGGTAACTCAATGTTTTCAACTGTGAAGTATATTTGGATTTTTGGATGTCTGGCTCAGAGCTGTGTGTTAAAGCATTTGGTTTTCATTTATCCTATTCTAGTCTGATCCTCTCAATGAAGTCATGAACTGGAATGACACTTCTTTTATAAATTGAACTAGAAAATTTTGTTCTGTTTCCTTAAATAACTTCTCCATTTTCCCCTGGGAAGGCTGTAACTTAAGTATTTGCCCAACAAAAAAAAATTTGGAACTTACTATTCTTCAGGCTCTGTGTATTTCAGGTGGAGAACCCACTAATGGCTGAGGAACAGAAAAGATACTGAAGTGTTTCTATCTTGTGCAGGAAAACTTAATTTACATTTCACTGAACATACAGAAGTACTCATTCCTAGCCTGATGAACCAATGCAATTATGATGCTGATGGGATATTCTTTAGAATTAAATATTTGTGTACGTTGAACCAGCTGCCTTGTAGGTAGTTGGTTTATATGCAATTAAAATACATCTGTACAAGTATGTACTTCTCCAGAAAACTACAGAATATCTGTAGAACATAATAAAGAGAAACAAAACTTGAATACGGAATAATCTTTGTCTGGTTGCTATCACTTGTGCAACATATCTTATAAAAAGTTGCTGAAGTGCTTAATTAGGAACAAAAAGAGCTATGTCATATGTTTGTTTTGTTAAAGGTCCTGATTTCTTGGATGCAGAAACAGAAAACTCTTTTTCGGTAATTTTCAGGAACTGCTGAAAAAGCATAGAACCAAAGCATAAAGCTTTGAGAGCTTTGAGCTCAAAGCTCTTGGAGAAGCTGGTCACTCAGATGTGAAGACCTGAGTGAGACTGGCCGTTCACCCCAGACAACAAAGAATGTTTTTCCTGACCAATGAATATATCTGCCTTTCAAAAATAGTATTTCATAGTCTTGCTGAATAGTCCATTTCAAGAAAGCATTTTGCACTTTTCTCACAGTTTCTTTATTAAATGATGCTGCTGTTTTGGCTGTAAAGAGAATATGAGGTTCTGAAAGTGGTGTAGATGTCTTTTTAGAAATACAGTGAGTACTTTAGGCCTAAAAGCTAACTTGAGAGTATTTTGTGTAACTATGTTATTCTGTTAATTATAGAAAAAACTAAAAGAAAAGACCACCTTGTGTTAAAGGATCAGTGTAAAAGTAACATCTCATTACACGTTTATTCAAGTTTAAGGTGGATTATGCTAAAGTAAATGACTTCTTGTTACGCAAGGAGAAATGAGCTATAGAAATCTTATGGTACTTATACTTTGAGTAAAATACAAACTGAATAAATACATAGTGAAAGCAAGTGGGATTGCATTGAAGTCAGGGAACAGTTTGTAAATGCTTGAGATTGTATAGCTTTCATTTGTTTTTACTTTCTGCCTTTCCAAACATGTCACCTCCCACCTTTCTGAATTAGTAAGGGTTGGCAGTTACTTTCATTGAGCAAATTAATATTATATGTAAAGTTTTAGATGTATATAGAATTCTTATATTTTGAGAAATGCTCCAGTGAGGAGTCAGTATACTTTTACCTTCATGAAATGCCCAGAGACAAGTTCTGGCTTGATCAAATTGCTAGGTTAACCACTTTACTTGGTTGACAGTCATCTATAAACGAGGAGACTTGGAGTACTGCATAGAGTTTAGGAGTTGAACAGAAAAATGGTAGGAAGGTAGAAGTCCATTCAGGCTGCTTTTTTGATCTTGGACATCTTTATGGAAGAACCCCAACAACACAAAACTGGGTGCTTGGTACGTTTAGTCTTACTATCTTGCAGAGTGAAAGGAGTCGTCTAGCAGTCTCTTTTGTTATTAACAGCTCTGAATGCCTTGATATTTGTTAGAAGTGTGTCTGGCCTCTCAAGTTATGAAACTTGATTCAGTATGGGTAAGGGTTGTAAGTGAAGTATATTCCTCAGGTGTCCTTCCAGGTTTCTTCTGAAACTAGTTCTATTTTTGTGCGAATGGAAGGGGAATGAAGGTGGATTCTGTTCTTCAGAATAGAACTTTCATTAGTTAAATACAACTCCAGAAAGGAAGAAAATTAAAGATAAGCCATAATGTTTTTTTGTGTGTGCTTTTTTAAAATGTAACTTATACTTGGTACAAAATTAAATTGGGTTTATCAGTGACTAGTAGATAAGGCAGATTACTATCCGCCATCTTTAAGGCATATTTCACATTCCAGGATAAGACCATGTAAATAAGGTGATGGAAATGGTCACTTAGATAACTAAAATAAGAAAGCCAAGGGGAAAAAAAAATCAGCATAAATAATACTGCCATTTCTCTCAGACCTCCGAATTTATCTTCCTTTTACAGATTGATGTTTTTCTCTGAGCTGCTTGTCCTATTTTGGGCGGGGAGTAAGTTAGAGACATTCTAAAACTCTGAAGGCATTCAGTTGATGCCTGTTGCATGCCTTTTGATTGGGAGAAAATCTATACTCTTCCATAAGTTCCATGGAAAATTCCCACCACTTTACCTTCATCAGCTTTATATTTATGTTTGATTTTTAATTTGTTCTGAGGGAAACCAAACCTCATAAGGTGATCTTGACTCTTTGAGATGTGTGGTTTTCAGATTAAGGTTGTTGGCAGCAATGAATTGTAACAGTAGAAGTGAGATTTTTAAAAAACAAAGTTCCATTTTACTAACTTGTTTAAAAGCCCAACTCTCCATTCACAGTTTAGGTTCCTGAGCAGCCCTTATATGAAAGGAATTTAAACTCTTACCGCTAGAGCTTAAGGTTAGAGCCTTTGGGTAAAGAATCCCATGTTTCTCACCCTACCC